TACAAAAATATAGTACACACAGTTACCATATACCCTTTACCCACCTTCATCTATGCTAGTATCTTATACAGCCATAGTATGAATATCAAAACAAAGAAACTAACATCAGTATAATATTATTAAGTAAACTACCAACTTTATTTAGATTTCACCAGTTTTTCTCCTAATGCTCCTATCTAGTCCAGGACCCAACCCAGGATTTCACACTGCAGTTAGTCCTCACGCCACCTTCATCTCTCCAATCTACGAGAGTTCCATCATTCTTTGCCTATCATGAGGTTGACACTTTTGAAGTTATCTGGCCATGTATTTTAAGGTATGTCCCTCCATGTCAGTTCTTCAGGTTTCCTCATGATTTTACTGAGGTTATGCATCTCGGAGGACAGCACTTCAGAAGTGATGTGCCCTTCTCAGAGCATCTTATCATGGGTTCCATGATGTCAACATCTTACTTACTGGTGATGTTAACCATGATCACTTGGTTAAGACCGTGTTTGCCAGATCTCTCCACTGTAAAGTCAGCCATTTTACCTTTGTAAATGATAAATGTTCACCGGGAGATACCTTGAGACTACGGAAATATCTTCTTCCCTAAACTTTTGCTCACTAATTTTAGCATTCCTAGGTGAATCTTGCATGATCAATTTTTGTTCTGGAGTTCTAATGGTGATTTTCTACTTTCCTCACCTCTACTACATTCATTAATTAGAATTCACCTGTAAGAAAGACATGGCCCTCCCAACACTTTATTTATTTCAACAATCACTTATTTATGCAGTATAGTCTCATGATTATGTATTTTATTCTTTGGATCATAAACTAACACCGTTTTTATTACTGAAATTGTTTTAGCTTTTGCCACAGGAGGACTCTTCAGGTTTGGTTGCTTTACATGTCTTCTTCCTCTTCTTCCTCTTCTTCTTCTTTTTTTTTTTTTTTTAAGTCTCTTTCCTTACACTCTGACACCACAAAATTCTCCAGGCTCATCTTTTTTTTTTTTTTTTTTTCCTTTTCTTTTTTACCCATACTAGTGTTGAAATCTGTCACTTCCTCAAGAAGCCCTGGTTCTTTTTATTGGAGAATAGTATTTAGAAACCCAAATCTGGCTGCTACATGTGCTCATTAACATCATATTTAATGGTAAAAGATGCTTTTCTCCCTAAGACTAGGAACAAAGTCAGGATGTTCACTCTTACCACTATTCAATATTATAATGAAGGTCTTAGCCAATATAACAAGGCAAAAGAGGAAAGAAATAAAATGCATACAGATCAGAAACGAAGTAAAATTTTATTTACCGAAGATATAATTGTCTGTGCAGAGAACTGCAAGTAACCTACAAAAAGATTACTACTATGAATTCTTGCAAGCCTCCAGGAGAAAAGGCCAATATGAAAAAACCAACTGTATTACTATATATTGGCAGCAAAACAAAGTGACAATGAAATTTTAAATATCATTTCCATTGGAAGACATAAAACATTTAAGGATAAACCTAACAAAATTTGTGTAAGACTTAAAACATTGAAATTTACAAAACATTACTAAGAGAAATTAAATGCTAAATAAACAGAGAAATAAACTGCACTCACGGATCTGAAGACTCACTGTTCAGATGTCAATTCTCCCTAGATTTATCTAGAGATTCAACACAATCTCACACAAAATCTTAGCAGACTGACAAACTGAGTGTACAATTTATATAGAAATCTATATAGACATTAATCTAGATAAATCCAGGCTATAAAACACCCTGCTAGAGAATCTTTACGCTTGAAGGTAGTTAAAGGATTTTATCTTTTGCGTGAGTAAATAACCTGTCCATTTCCACAAGGAAAGCCAGAAGCAAATCCAGGACTAGGAACCAGCCTTGTTCTTTCACATTTTGATACTGTGCTCTTCAGAGTGGCACATCATGCTACTTGTAATTAAGATTCGTTCACTTTTTACTTTGCCTATAAAGATACTCAGATCTCAACAGATACCAGAATACCTAAATGTGCTATCACCTCTCGATGTGCAGCAATAAGCAGAAAAAGAGCCAAGAACTATGTGATAATAAACAAAAATAACAAATTTCCCAAACCTTCTTAACAAAAACGTAACAAACATACCTGATCTTAGGAATGAATTGACTTTTACCAGAAATTACACATTTTAAAGACGTAAGGACTCCATAAAAATGTTTTGTTTTATAAATTATATAGTAAATTACACTGTCCAAAGCACTGAAATTTTAACTAAATTCATTAAAGCAGCTTCCATCAGGCTGGCTCTCAAAATTAATTTCAAGTTCTCCTGTTATACGATACAAACCCAAATAGACTCAATTACATTTTCCTTTTAGAAAGAAACTCAAATTTAAAAGTGCTGCTACAGTGAAGTTGCTCCTTCAAGTATGTATGTGGCAGCAGAGAATGCCAGAGCCCTGGCGGTCACACAGGACACCACGAGTGAGCCTGGAGATGGCGTCAATCCACGACCAATCTATTGCTCACAGAAACCGTCATTTTTGGTTGTGCTTCTTTATTCAAGATATTTAAAACTTTTGCTCAAATTAAGTGGCGCCCATTTTTAAAAAAGAATTATAACAACTTGAACAAATTTATCCATTCCTACATGGTAGCTGCCTGGCTCTCTTACTATCACTCTTATACTGGGGATGCCTAGCCCAATGGAGCCGGATAGGATAAGCCCTGCTTCCTTACTGTTATACTGGTTGAGCTCTCAGAGCTTTGTCTAGGTGGGGCCAAACCCTTATTTAACATGAACGGCTGAACACTGAGATAAGGAAACTTAGTAGCAAATCTTATTGTTCTCACAGGACTGAAGAAGGTCCGTATTTTGGCCCTTCTTTAAATGTACAGTGCCACACTGGTACCTTAACCATTGTCTCTTAGAGAAATAGCTCTTTTCCCGTTTTTTTTTTTTTTTTTGGAGTAAGTTCTCCCAGGATAGGGTGTCTGCAAGAGACAATATTTCATTGTAGCTTATTATTAGCTATCAAAAATAAAACTATGCATGATTTCCAGGAGACACAGCAAACCCTTGTCTCTTCCAGGTTCTTTTGTAGTTTACTGACATGACGAAAACAGTACATAGCTCATTCGAGCCACTCCTATATATGCATGCAACTCATAAGGATCATCCTCAGTGATACAAAGTGGATGTAAAATTGTCTGTAAGAAGTCAGGAAATATTTAGGACACTTAAGAATGCTCACATACTTCTCATAAAGGTTGTAAAGGATTCAGTACTTAACACGGTACTTTATGCACAGTAGAAACTCAATGCATGTGAGTTGAATCGAGTAGACGTGTCTAATATGACGTACCTATTTTAAATTCCTAGTTACAAGAAACAGAAAATCACGGTACTCCTGGTTACCAATAACATAATACAGACACGAAGTACTTGTGTTACTTCTTACTAACTCATGTAATTCATATAATTCTATCTTTACCTTAAGGGTTAACAGAGAAGAACAGTTGGCATATAACAGACCCCAAATAAATGTTTTTGACTAATAGATGTTTCAGAGAAAAATATGACATGTTGGAATAAACTGAAATGGATGGACTAACTAAAAATAATTACACAAAAATTCTGAGTACATTACTGAATGAAAAACATTTCATAGTAAAAATTTTATACAAGCATTTGAAAATCAAAGTATCAAAATACCAACAATATCGGAGGTAGTACCAACAATATCTGAGGTAGTAAAGAAAAAAAAAAGGGAGGGAGGGACAGGCGTAATTTCCTGTTCCTGAACTTAAGCAAAAATTGCAGCATTAAAAACAAGAAGCGTGGGTGCCGTGGTTCACAGATCTAATCCGAGCACTTTGGGAGGCCGAGGAGGGAGGATTCTTTGAGCCCAGGAATACAATACCATCCTGGGCAACATGGCAAAATCTTATCTCCACAAAAAGTACCAAAACATTAGCCAGGTATGGTGGCTCATGCCTGCAGTCCAAGCTACTCGGGAGGTTAAGGTGAGAGGATCACCTGAGCCTGGGGAGGTAGAGGCTACAGCAAACTGTCATCGTACCACTGCACTCCAGCCTGGCCAGAAGAGACCTTGTCTTCAAAAATAAACAAATATAAACAAGTTTGAAGCAGATCACGATAAAACTAAACATATATCATTTGTACTTTTTTTTAAAAAAGAGATTGGGTCTCACTCTGCCACCCAGGCTGGAGTACAGTGATGTAAGCACAGCTCACTGTAGCCTCAACCTCCTGTGCTCAAGTGATTCTCTTGCCTGCCTTAGCAGCCTCCCAGGTAGGCAGAGCTACAGGAGTGCACCACCACATCCAGCTGATTCTCATATTTTGTAGAGATGGGGTCTCACTGTGTTGCCCATGCTGGTCTCAAACTCCCGGCCTTAAGTAATCCTCTCGCCTCAGCCTCCCAAAATGCTGGGATTACAGGCATGAGCCACTGTGCCTGGTCTAGCAGTATTCATTTTGTGGGCAATAAAGTACTGTTTCTAATGACAGAGAAGTCCAAAATAAGATATTGTCTTTACTACTTCATTAAATATTAAAAACAAATTCCTTTAAATCCTATTTAAAACAAGAATTTTTACAAATAAACCTGCAGTGTTTTCTTTAAAATTAAAGACACAGGGGCAAATTTAAAAATTATAATTTTTAAACTAGTTTTCTTTAAAAAACAACACTGGGTTATCTTTTTAAAAATTAAATGAGAGGCCAACTAACAAATTATTATGAAAAAAAGAGAAAAATAAATTCTGTGATCACATTGAAAAAAATTTCAAGAGGTATCTGGGGAGTCAAAATTTTAAGAAAACTTTTGTGCACAGAAGTTCAATCATCAATCACTAAAATGTCAGTAAAACAGAAAGTATCATTACATCATTAACTTTTATTCTCATTACATCATTAACTTTTATTCACTTAAAATACTTTTGCTATAAATTCATTTTAGCAGTGCAGCCAAAATATTTACTTACTATGCCACAAAGATATCTTACCTTTTTATCATAGACATCTTGCCAGTTTACTCCAGAAAAGAAACTGTGTCTCATAATTTCTTTCGCATCATCTGGTCCTCCACCAAGGCTATGAGAACAGAAATAAAATTAAACGAGTGTAAAACATTTATGTAAGCTCAAAACAACAAAAATGGTTTTGTGAAAGTGTTATTTTCTGTGTAAAAAATAGTTCTTGGGATAAATAGCTATAAAAGTAAAAGCTTTTGCTGTAGGATCTATTTTTCCTAATATGCTTATAAGAACTAGCTTTAGAACAACAGTATGATATTTGAAGAAGAGCAGTGGCTTTGCAGACAGATCTGAAGGAAGCAACCATCTCCAACACTTATGAGATGTGTGACAACAGAAAAGATGCTTACCCTCTGTTTTCTATTCTGTAGAATGGGGAACAGTATTTGCTGGTGGGTCACTACAAAGGTTAAACAACACAGGGATTTGGTCTGGCTGTGTCTCCACCCAAATCTCATCTTGAACTGCAGCTTCCATAATCCCCACATGTTATGGGAGTGACCAGGTGGGGGGGCAGTAATTGAATCATGGGGGCAAGTTTTTTCTATGCTGTTCTCATGAAAGTGAGTAAGTCTCATGAGATCTGGTGGTTTTATAAAGGGCAGATCCCCTGCACACGCTGTCTCCTGCCTGCCACCATGTAAGACATGCCCTTGCTCTTCCTTCACCTTCTGCCATGATTGAGGCCTCCCAGTCATGTGGAACTGTGAGTCCAATAAACCCCTTTTTCTTTATAAATTATTCAGTCTCAGGTATTTCTTCATAGCAGTAGGAAAATGGACAAATACAACAACAGGTAAAAGAAATTCAGGTGTTTTCTGGCTTATTCAGTTTAATTTAGTACATATTACTAAGAATAAAAGAAAGAAAAATGAGAAATAGGAAGAACAGCAAGAAAGGAGGGGAAAAGAACAATGAAAGAAAGAAGAAATAAACCTATTTAAATTTGAATTTAACATAGTAGGCTGTTTGGACTTGTTCATTGTTAGAAATTATATGTGTTGGTAAATGCCTAACCACCAGCTCTCTGTGAGCAATCATACATTTATAGATATACAATTTTTTTCTTTCCTTTTTTTTTTTTTTAAGGGCACAGGACATGCCAGGTGCTCAGAGCAGAGCAGCCATGGAGCTGCAGGGACTGGACCTGGCCTGGCCTAGCCACCACTACACCCTAGACATATGAATTTAAATTTTAATGACAAAGAATGCAAAATACAAAATTTACAAACATCATAAAATATACAATGTTCTGTATTGTAAATTAGTCACCTGATTTTCACAGGAGACTTAATTTTTACTGTACTCCAAAGCCACTAATGGATGCAACTTATGACTAGTTCTAACATGAATATTGGCTGACATTTTTGTTTATGTTAAAGTCAAAGATGAAAGTGATAAAATGGAGACTAGACTTCACTTGTCAGTAATGTGAGTGGATTCTTTGCCAAATGGTTAAAGATTCTGGAATAGTGGAAGAATACTCATTTTTTTTGTTGCTATTTACAATGTAATGAATATGGACACAACAAACTTTCAAATTTAATCTGATTAACATTTTCTCTTACGTTCTAAACAATCAACAAAACAGTAAGTCCAGCCCCAACTCATAGTATTTGCCAATTTTGGTGGTATAAATTCTCCCACCATGGCCCATTTCAAGCTACCAATACGACGTCACCAAACACGGAGGCAGGAAGATCTGCGTCTTAGTAAACCATTATTTATTATGTCCACACAGATACAGCTGACGTAACTCATCTCAAAAATAAAGATAACCGTGAAAACATAACAAATTAAGGAGAGATGCATTTTCAGTATCTATGAGCTTTGCTTTTCCTTTCTTAATCAGTATATTTATACAATTTAATTTTTAATGATGACTATAATCTACAACCAGCTCACAAAATTGCTGAAAATATAACAGCTGGTTCTTGTGAGATGGTATATGCCAATTCTAACACAAGACTGGGTTGGAAGAAAACCATGTACAGATGCTCCTAAACTTACCAATGGGGTTACGTCTAGATAAACCTACATTTCAACTTAAGATGTGTTTATCAGGATGCAACTCCGTCATTAGCTGAGAAGCATACTAAATATACATCACTTTCACACCATCATAAAGTCAAAAAACTGTCAAGCCATCATAGGTCAGAAATCATTTGTAATTATATAATTCTAATGAATTCTGGTTATTAGATATAAGAAATACATGACTGGGAAGGACATGGAATCCTTTGACACAGAGTCAAAATGGAAAACAATCAGCTGATAGGTGAGTTTCTTTATTGATAACTGATTCCCATCAGATGGGTCTCCAACTCCCAGCTCCTTGTAAAATTCTCTAAATGAACTATACCCCAGAGATGGGACTTTTAGATTTGATCGTAATAGTGCTGTTCGATGTTTGCATTTGAATTTTCAGACTGGTAGTTCTGAATTCAGTGAGGGCTCAGCATTTCAGTCCCTGCCCTCTTTTTCATTCTATTTCAATTGTGTACGTTTCTTCCCAGGAGACTGCAAACTCCTTTTAAGGCCAGGTCAGTCAGTGCTGGATTATCCAAAAGGCATTCTAGAAAGCTTGTGCTTAGGGAACCAGAGAAGCAAAAGCACCAAAACACGTTTCTGAAAAGCATTTAGTATTTTCAAGTGCACATCAACATAGTCTGCATTAGACATATCAAAGCTCCATGGCATTTTCTTACACTTACGTTATAGTTTATTTCAATAGTGTTTCATTTGAATTGTATTTCAGACGAGAGTTGGAGTGGAGAATCATAATCATTTTGTAAACAAAATGCTTTAATCCAGCTTTAGTCATCCATTTTTGTAACTCAAGTTTTCTAGCAATACTTTGGTTTTGAACATAGCCAGCATTTATTCTATATTTATCAAATACATATAAAACTGAAATATCAGCTATGAATACCATGCAAAGTCTAAGAATACAATCAGACTTCCATTTTAGAAGCTAGGAGAAATTCTTTAACACACTTCCTCAATGTGTGAAACTGTCAAAAATTTCAGTGTCAATGGCTCTCTAATATACAATTTAAGACTTCAAAAATAATAACAAAATATGCTTTGAAGTAAGATATTTATGTCTAAAATACAGTATCAGAATGCCAAACTAAATTCTCAGCTACTATGAATTCTTTACTATGAGGAACATCATAGAATACACATTTTCCTAATGTTAGTGAATACAAGAGGTCATGCTTTTCCTATCAACTTTGCATAGGAAGATAAAGGAGGGATTAATAGAATGAACATAAAGGATGGAGAGTAAGAAATCAAAGCAAAATGATAGTTGACCCTTTGATAGAAGTGACAACAATTCAATAAAAGATACCAGAAAAATTCCAGTAGTATTTAAAATAGCTGCACAGAAAAAATGAAGAGGTATATTATAATGCTATCATTACTTATGTTTCCCAAGACTTTTCAAGGTCCTTTGTTGGCTTTCTTTTCTTTCTACCCCTGAAACTGAGGTTTCCCAAGACTGTCCTAGGCCCTCTTCTCATACACTTCCCTCGCCACTACTGTCTTGGCTCTAGATACATTTATGGCTTCCAATCCATATAATCTGGTACTGTGTTTCTTTTAAGCATTGATTCTATTATTTCCAGCTGCTCACTTGACATTCCCATCTTGGTTTTCTATAGAAACTTCAGACTCAGTGTATGCAAAGTTAGTATCAACATCTACCCCATCAAGCCTCCTTCATTTGCATTCCCTGTCTGAGAATCACCCTAGCTGGAAACCTCAGAGGCATTCCTGACTCCTACTTCCTCACAGTTTCTAGTTTATCATTCACCTCTATTTATCACTTGTGTACTACTGCTTCAGGAAGGTCCCCATCTATCATCTGAACAATTCTATAAATATTCCTTTTTTTTTTTTTTTTTTTTTTTTAAAGACAGGGACTCACCCTACTGTCCAGGCTGGAGTGCAATGGCATCAGTTTGGCTCACTGCAGTCTTGACCTCCTGGGCTCCAGCGAGTCTCCCACCTCAGCCTCCCAAGCAACTGGGACTACAGCATGTGCCACCACATCCAGCATTTTTTTTTAAACAAAGATGGATCTTGCTATGTTGCCCAGGCTGGTCTTGGAACTCCCGACCTCAAGTGATCTTCCTGCCACAGCTCTCAAAAGACTGGGATTACAGGCGTGAGCCATTGTGCCTGGCCCCATTACATTTTTATCAGCTCTGCCTGCCTCTGGATCCTCACTCATCTCATTTGTCCACGGCAAAACTTCCAGAGTTACCTTTTCATGACACAAATCCGATTATACCATCCCTTGCTTTAAATACTTCAGCAGCTATCTCATCCCCTTCTGAATAAAGATTAAATTTTTCTAAGAAATCTGAGATCCCTACAATCTAATGTATCAGCTTCATTTCCCAGTGTTAGCCAACTTATATTCTACACTCCAGTCACTGAACTTCTCAAATGCCACGTTATTTTGCAATCCTAGCTATACTCTACATGCGCTTGAGTACCACTGCATATTCAAACTCCTTCCTGATTCAGCTCAAGTCCCCCAATCCCCTAGACAAAGCTAAGAACTTCAACAGTACTTTGTGCATAGTGTGACCTGAACATCTGTAAGTATATGTTTTGTGCCCCAAATTATTCTATCAACATCTAGAGCAGAGTCTGGTTCTTCTGACTCATCCATGTATTCCCTGTATCTTGATACAGCAGTGGAGGGGCTTGACACATCTATTATAAAATATTAGATGACTGAAAATACTGCATCTTCCCTTTAGATCAGTATCAACCTCCTGGTGCACAAACAGGAATTGTTCTATTAATACACACCAGGCAGTTAACATTCTAAGAATCTACCTCACATTCATTCAATAGTTCCTAACTACCAACTATGTGCTATTCGTAGAGTGGGCTGACAAATAAAAAAATGAAAGAGACATACACATGAAAACCACAAGTATATTTTGTTCTACCAGCCACTTATAAAAAGGGCCACAAAGTAAAGAGTGGTCAAAGTTGCCTGCAGGAATAAAAAAAGGATGGAATAAAAATTCACTGCCTTGAATACCAAGCCAAATATTAGATTAAAATATCAAATAGATAAAAGTCGGCCGGGCGCGATGGCTCACACTTGAAATCCCAGCACTTTGGGATGCCAAAGTGGGCAGATCACAAGGTCAGGAGTTCAAGACCAGCCTGGCCAACATGGTGAAACTCCATCTCTATTAAAAAAAAAAAAAAAAAAAAAGAAAGAAAATTAGCCAGGCATAGTGGCATGCAACTGTAGTCCCAGCTACTCAAGAAGCTGAGGCAGGGGAATCGCTTGAACCCAGGAGGCAGAGGTTGCAGTGAGCTCAGATTGCACCACTACACTATAACCTAGTGAGAGACTCAAAAAAAAAAAGATAAAAGCCACCATTCTCTTTAAAGGTTACCTATCACCAGGTGCTACTGATTATTTAATTGTAAAACAATGCTATTAAATGGAACACATTTCAAAACCTGAACTCAGAAATTGTTGCACTGAAAATAAGACACATAAGAAATGCCAAATAGGCACCAAGAAACTTGATTTCTACTCTTCGTCTGTAGGAATGTGCTGAGAGATCTTGAATAAGTCACCTAACCCTCTCTGGGCCTTTGTTTTCAACTCTTATCAAATGGAAAAGAGAATAGTATCTTCCCTATGCGCCCAACAAGGCTACTGAAACATCAAGGGAGTTATAGATGTGAAAGTGGTCTGAAAAAGAAAACAAAATCACTTTATACACATAAATAATATCTGTAGCTAGGATTACAAAATGTTTTTTGTATGGTTCTTCGCAAAGCAAAAAGACAGTATCTCTTATTATGTTTGCTTATTTTTGCTGAAGATAAAGTCATGTTCCTTGTAAATTTAAAAGCTAGAAGAAGCATGCTGTGAAAACCATTTATAAGGTAGACTTAGAAATCCAACTCTTTGGGATTCACTCAATCCAATCAGTAAATGTGTATGTGTGTGTGTATACAAATATATATGTATGTACGCGTGCATGTGTGTGTGTGTGTGTGCGTGTGTAGACAGAGAGAGCATGCATCAAGCACAAATAGAACATTTTAACAAAACCCTATATGAGTTATTATAGAAGATAAAACAGTAAGTGAAATAATCTATGCTTCAAATGAGTACACTCAGAGAAATACTGATATGCATAGATACCTAGATGGGAAGCTAGATATATACATATACAAACACACGTTACGGGACATTTTAAAATGAATTAGTCATTTCACATACGATTTATAAAAGCTATAGGTGAATGAATTTATAAACATGAACAAAAATTCCTGTAGCTCAGTGAACAAAGCAGCAAGAGCCAAAGCATTCTTTAGGTCATAGCTGCAGCTACAAAAACAGAAATACAAACTGTGTACATTTTTTTTTGTTGCCATCAACCCTTTCAGCTTTGCAGAGAAAATAGTATTTTCAAACGATAAACGAAAAAGTAGTTAGAGGCTGGGTGTGGTGGCTCACGCCTGTAATCCCAGCACTTTGGGAGGCTGAGGCAGGCAGATCACTTGAGGTCAGGAGTTCAAGACCAGCCTGGCCAACATGGCAAAACCCAGTCTCTACTAAAAATTCAAAAATTAGCCAGGAAAGGTAGCAGGTGCCTGTAGTCTCAGCTACTTGGGAGGCTGAGACAGGAGAATCACTTGAACCTGGGAAACTAAGTTGCAGTGAACCAAGATCACACCATTGCACTCCAGCCTGGGTAGCAGAGCGAGATACCGTCTCAAAAAAAAAAAAAAAAAAAAAAAAGGCAGTTAGATATGTTAACACAGGTTTTGGTGGGAGGAGAATACTGGAAAAATAGTTCTTTTCCTTTTATAAGAAATACAAAGGCCCAGAGACTGAAAGAAAGAAAAGGTATTCTCCCATCCCCACAAGATCAAGTAACAGAGCAATTAAGAAATTTTCACTCATAATATGGATAATGAAACTCTCAAAATCCTTATTTGGTAAATCTGCATAAAATTTCCAAGTTAGGAAAGAGTTGAGAAAAATTTTTAAACATTCCATATTATGCAGTTAAAAATAAGTCAGAATCTCAGTAGGAAGACGTCTACACCAAATACATTGCTTCTTGGAGTTAGTTATATTTGAATTAATTTCCATATCTCACTTTTTAACCACACTCATCAGTAATTCGCTAAGCGTTATTTGAAGCTTACCGTTTATTTGGATCCTTTATCAAGAGCCCTGAAAGCAATGATTTTGCATCTGAAGAGAGTGTTCGAGGAAATTTAATGTCTTCCATTAATATGAGTTCGAAAAGTTTCTCGTGGTCCTGGTTGTAGAAAGGTAACCTCCCACACATCATTTCATACATGACAACCCCGAGGCCCCACCAGTCTACTGCTCGGCCATAGTCATTATCTTCTAACACCTAAAAGTGAAAGCAGTAAAAACATTACTTCTCATACGTTAACTTTTAAAGCATTATTCATAAAACATAAGATTTTTACATAAAAATGAATCTTAACTTTCAAAGGCTAGGTGGTCTATTTTGAGATCTCGACATTTAAACTCTGAAGCATCCTATGAAAAATATAAATCACACCAAATATGTAAAATATTCAAAATAAATCCAGAAATGGTCAGTGTCCAAAAAAAGGGGCAGGTCGTACAAAAAAGAAATCCCAAGTACCTGAATATACATAAGGATCAAATGAAAAACGTTAGCTAGCATATTTACATATTTTTTCCTAGGCCTACTGACTTTTTCATTCTGGTTCCACCCATGTGGACTTTAAGTAACAACTCAGAGATAGGGTGTGCTGATTATAGAGCATATTATGTGCAATGCACATTCCTACTTTAAGAATAACTAAATAATACAAATTAAACAGTGAAAGACAGTAGTAAAGACAGACAATGGAATGGAGAAGTGTACAGGGCGTAACAATCATTAAAATAAGTTTGAAAACCTTTGGAAGTCCCTATATATTTCAACTCTTTCTGGAACTATTTAATTAACAAAGTGAATATAAAGGCTTATGGTACGAGTAGTAATAAGTAACAACAAAAATTTCTGTTACAGCCAAAAATTTACTAACTCTGTGGTATATGTCCTTAAATTTTTCCCAAAATACATTACATGCAAAATAAATTTAGTTAGAAATGATATAAAAGTATCTGTTTACCTACATTGGAGCAACCTGTTCAAATGGGAACATGGTAACTTACCATTTGTCCCAGGAAAAATTTGGTTTTATCTTTTTCTCAGATTTGTTCCTCATCCAATGGAATATTCCTATCTATATGGAACTTTCAATATTTTGTTTTAAAACTACGTCTGATAATCTTAAAACTTACTTTATTTGATCCTTTCAGCTTTGGAAAACCAGATCAGGAAAACCACACATATGAATCTATCCATTTAAAACACTTATAACCGATTACACAAGAGAACATTTGATGAGGTGAAAATAGTACTTGTGTTCCAAACTTTCTTGGTTCAAATTAAATATTTTCTTGAATATTACTCTTATATGATTTTTATTTAAATTTCCCAATAATCTCACAGAATTACAGGTGATGTTTTTGACAGTTACATTATGATTACCTAAAAATACTATGAAAGGCACGTTGGTAGGGTATTTAAAGATAAAGGATATAATTTATCAGAAAAGAATATGTTACTTAAAAGATTTAGTCAGTAAGCATTTTTATTATGAAAAAATTTTTAATTCAATTACATCAATGTTTGTTTTATGGCTTAAAAAAACGGAAAACTTCACTGGTGAGATACGAACACAAGTTTAGATCCTATGCTTTTCTAGAAATCTTTTGTAAATCACGAACTAAGAAAAACATTTTCTGGAAGAAGAACAAATTCTAGTTTTCATCATTAGCCAAAAGAATGTCACATTTTTACTTGTTTGAAATGACTAATATGAGAACGAATAGAAAACAAGAAATAACGTAAAAAAGCAGAAGAAATTCTACTTATGTATTTACGTTAAAGGAAATGCTGCATGTACAATTTTAAAATACCCGTGACTTTTGACGATTCAAGGATCTGTCTCATGGCCAATTAGCAGAGGGCACTGTTTGTGGGCCTTGATCTAATTGATACAGGATTTTAACTAATAACAACAAAAAAATTTAAATCTAACTAACCTTTAACTGTATTCCTACAACACCAACAAAACAGTGGCATACACGAAAAGGAGCCAAATGTGGTTTTTAACCTCTTTTTTCATAAAACCATAAAAAGCATAAAAGCTGGATTAACTGCCTCCCGAACCCACATTTCACCAGCCGGGTTCTCATCCCCAGCTGGCAAAACTGGCAATCCTTTATTTTTGTTTAAATACCTGGTTTGCAGCCAGAAGGGAAAGTGAGTACATAAAAAGAGGGTTTTTATTTTTGAAGAGAAATAAGCAACTGAAAAATAGAACTGCATTGTAAAAAAATCTGTTTGATAAAATACATTTTACTTAGCTCTGTAAAATGAATACTGATTTTCAAAATAAGTGAGTTTGCCTCTGAACATACGTGCTTTAATTGATATGCAGATACATAATGCTATAATTAGAACTGTTTGCCGTATCACTTTGTATTGAACAAAACTGAAGTAAGGTATTGTCTTACTGGCATGTAAACTTAAGCAATGCTGAAGAGAAAGCGTCCTAACAACTAAGCCATCCCTCTTTACCTAAGAGACTTCACTATCAATCAGAAAAACTTTTATTCAAATCCTGTCTCCAAAGAGCTATAAGATGAAACATACAAGAAATAAAAATAATAATGATTACAGTATCCTACGTGTGGATATATTTGTTTCCACTATTTAAACAATATCCTTTCTCTTTCCTGAATCTAAATTATTTCAAAACACAATACTTTAAAATACCCTGGAAATCCCACAGTCAAATTAAACAATTTGAATCCAATAACCTCTTACAGATTATTTCTACAAGATGATTTTTTTCTCCCTACCCAAAGCATTTATTTTTTAAAAAATACATAATATAAAATATACATTTTTTTAACTTAAGGATTGCAAATTCTTTCTGGCTACCTCTAAGAATTTTTTTTTCTAGCTAAAAGGTTATTTCATGGTTATTGTGAGGGCTGGCTGAAAGGTATGATAAATAGTGATATAATGGACAGGTACAACAGTGGTAGAACATATGTTAACTTCATTAAAATGTAATTTCTCATACAATTTCGATATAAATGCAGATCAAAATATGCTCCTGAAAAAAATCCAGTGAAAAGATTTATCTAGAAGAAATAAACTTGTGTCTCTTTTCCATAAAAGCAACGTTACCGGCTTTTAAATGAAACTCAAAGTTTAAATAGGAAAGCAGACATTTGGTACTTCCCTTACCCCTACAGTCCTTTGTAATCACAGATGTAGTTGTACTTTATACCTACCTTTAACACAAATGCCCACACAGAGAAGACAGACAAGAGGGGATTTGGAACATTAAAAGAAATGTAAATGTTAAAAAATGATGAGAGGTCACATTAAATGAAAATTCAAACAGAGCACAAACTCTAGAAAACAAGGCTTTATTTCTAATAGGAGCCAGAAACTGCTTTACTTTCTGATATGATAAAACCTAAGCCTCAAGGAGGTTACAGCAAATACAAACTAACACTGAATACCCTGGAAATGTTTGATTACTATTCTGTAATATTTAATGAGGACCCTTCCATTTATAAAACAACCAGGTGAGTTAAAAAAAAAAAAAAGTTCTTAAATTGTTACTCACTTCAAAGAATGATATTAAGTGAAAAGCTATACATTTTTAAATGATACCACCAATTAAAGTTACCAATGTAAATATTTATTTGGCTAATGGGTATTAAAATAAAATCTATTCATTCCAATATTCTTTTTATCAGGAGGATTTACTAGTAGGTTACAGGGACACCTCTCTCAGCTTGCCCACCAGGCCACACAATGCACCCGAGGCAAGCAATTATAAGGAGGCTATGTATGCCCTGGAGTGGCTTACTGCTCAATCAATAATCCTGACAGAACAGATGGGGGAAAAAATTAAACATCTAAACAAACTGTCTGCACACCTATGTTGTGAAAGTAAACTGCGAACTTGGATGAACCAATTTACCGCTAATTCAAAAAAAAAAAATTTTTTTTCTGGTAGCCTTACATTTCAGGTAAGTGATAGATATGTGTTTTATACTTAAATATACATCTATATCATTTATCATTTATGGGAGCCTTTCATATATTCTTAACATCACAGGTATGGGCTAAGAAAAAAATGACCTATAAATTTTCTCATTCAGATTTTAAAATCAACTGCAGCTTCTGGAATCGTATCCATTTCAAATCATAAGATTATAACTTCTACAGTTGCTTGGTATTTTCTTCATAAATATATTTTTATAACTATTTCTCACTGCCTTAATAATTCTTATGTGACAGCAACTGCCAATACCATTTGCCATGAATTAGAATGCTGTGAACTTTATGGCCACCACTCCTAGCATGCACACACAAATACTTGTACAGTTAACATCGTACTTTAAAAAGCAAACTCTGGCTAGCATAGGAAAAATCCTTCAACAAGAGAAAGGCTAAATGGATACAATAACAATGTTTAAATCATACTTACACATATCTTCCAAGAGATTTCTATACTTCTTTTTTATTCTGAAGCAATAGACATTATGGGATTCCAAGAAACTGAGTCTTTATAACCCAAGTAACAATAGCCATAGTAAAATACTACAGGTAATCACCAGTGCTCCCAGTTAGGGTTAGTTTTGTATATGTTCTCATGCTACAGAGAATTTAAAATTAAACTTTGTGCTTAAACTAGAATCACACCAAAGTACTGAATGCAAATATTCTGTTAAAGCCAAAAGACCATATAACATTGAAAAGAAGTTAGGGCGAAAAATAGATACTATAAGAACTGACAGACCTCTAAGTAAGTAAAAGATGCCACTTATAAACATTGAGAGGCGTTAATTCCATTTTAGTTTATACTTAAACAATGTCCAATTATGAGATAAAATGGAATGGCTTTTAATATTACCCAGAAAAACGTATAAAATAGCAACATACTATAGAAAGAAATTAAATATATTCAACTAAATAGTAAGCCAACTCCTATGAGAGAAGTTCTGAAATATGAATTCTAACTGCAGAGCAGACGACTTCTATCTGAACTCATCCCCGCACTCCCTAATGTTCCCTTTAATCATGATGATGAGACCTTCTCTGAATTACCAGGAAGATGATGGTTTTCAAAAATACCCCAGAAGGACAGATATTATAGGAATTATTAATAAGTAAATAAAATGTTAGGATTGTCCACAATTTTGGAAAGGCCACAAAAGCAACTCTTTATTTTCACAAAAGGCTTAGAGATTCTAAGACTAGTTTTACAATCTGCTGGT